AGATGACAAAAAAAGATATAACTTTGAGAGGAAGACCTTTGTGTATGAAATACATTGTCTGAGCATGATTTTGTGATGTTGTGATTGCATTTGTTTTTTCAGATAGTTTTAACCTGAGAGAAGAATTGGCAATTTGGAAAACTCGGGACTAGAATATCTCCCTTTCATCTTTTGTATAAGATTTAAAAATGACCTGCAAAGGATTTGAAACTGTGTTCCTTAAGAAGCACTTAAAAACTATTTGGGATTGTGAACTGTCGTGTGGGTGTTCTTTTTTTCTTGTTTGTTACTGGTACAAATGTAAAATCCCACAGACAAGACACATATGCAGTGCTAATCTCTGTAATAAAAAATACAAAAACACATTTTCCATGCACACTGTTGAAATTAAGACAAGTTCACTTTGCAGGGACAGACATGTGAAATCACATTTCCCTCGGCAATATCTTGGGCTTTGTATTAAGCATAATATAGCAGCCTGAACAATTTAATAACACAGAGGCTTTATAGCTGGAAAAGATTAAATAAACTGTATGACAATATGATCAGTTTCTCAATAGTGACATCTTTTTCAAAAGACAAGTAACATTGGGATGCTGTGAGTCCCTGTTTAATACAATCCATCTAAATTAGAACTGAATGAAGTTGGTGCAGACTGGTAATGTGCTGCTGCCATTCTTCAAGATGAAGATAGAGGGTCAGCTATCTCGAAGGGGATCAGCAAGGATAAAACAAAAGGCTTCTTTTTGTCAGGAAAAAAAGCGGGAGAAAAAAATAAACTACATTTTAGTTCCTGATATTCAAACTAACCAATGTAGGCATACGAGTAAAAGTAAGTCTAAAAAAAGAAATATATTGGATACAGTTTTCTTTAGGATATCACTAGCCTTGACATCCAAGGGTAGAAGTATCCTTACTATAGCCATTCACACCAGGTAAAAGAGAGAAAGGCCTGTATCAATACCACATTATTCATGACCAGACACAACATTTGTTAACTTTGCTGAAAAAGGAAAATTAGTTCCTAGAATTTTCCAACACGAGCGTAGCTGGTGAGTTAAAAATTAAAAAAACAACAACCAACAAGCAGAACATAAATAATGCAACACATTTTTTTTTTTGTTTTATCCTGACTGGAACATGCTAACATGCTGAAACTGGGTCATCCTTCATTGGTACAATATGGCACTGCAATTATAAACTCCCAGCTAATCAAAGGGGACCAACAGAAGAAAGTGAGGCTCAACGGCCTATATTTACAGGGAGTGGGACAGCAGCTGGTAACAAAAGGACTGTTTTATAGGACACCCCATCACAGGAAGTTTATCTAAAAACACACCCTGAAAAAGACAGACTCTAGGGTGTAACTTCCTTCTCGGCAGCCGTGTTCCTGTGAGCTCTCTGATTGTAAACGTGTGTTGTCTTTCCCAGTGGACTGCGAGTGAACAGGAGCCTGACCTTTGGTGGAAGTAGTCTATTACTTCTGCCTGAGTGCCCATCAGTTTTGGGCAGTAACAAATTACATATAACAAGCGACAACAATGAGATTCCATGTTTCAGTAATGTGTAATAGCTCCTTTTTCAAACAGGTAACAAGCTGTATGTGCACAAAAGCTAGAGGTTTTACTTCACTAACTTTATGCAGAAGTTTAATTTATTTTTACACTCAGAGCAGCAAGTCTTGCTATATTCAGTTTAAAGATGTTAAAGCAGCAGGCCTAATTGTGTTGGCCTATTTATACTCTCAGGTTCTTACTTTTAGACAATAAAGATATATTTTTCCAAATTTAAATGTATTTAAACATCTGTTTTTTTAATGCAATTTCGATTTCAGCTAAGCAGTTCTTGCTTTTCATAGTGATGTCTGATAATAAGGTGGATAATGTAACAAGACATCAGTGCTATATAAAAAAACAGTAAAGGTTTAGTAATCTGCTAACTAATATCCTGGATACAGTTAGAAATTCAGCAATTTGTGAATTTTTTTTTTCTCTAGCGCAGATAACTTTTATGCCATACATAATTTAAGGCTTACAGAGGGTGTACTTCAAGAAAAAAACTTTGAAGTTGAGTAAATATTTAAATCATAAAAAACAAAATCACAGTTAAATTAGAATTGGATGACACAGTGTTACAGATACACATAAGTTCAGTTTCTTTGCAACAGCATCTGTACAGTCATCTATATCTAAGACCTTATTATATCTATATATTATATCTAATTGCCTTACACATTTCTACAACGCACACACAAACTACTGTTTTGGGGTCTCCCTCACCTCTCAGCTGTTAAAAGTGGATGGTCAAGCACAGTTTGAGTCCTGCGGTCACAGGTTCGAGCCTGGGTCTTGCTACACACCTATGGCACACCAGTGGCTGAGCAATGCCAAGGGTAGAGTGCGCGACTCTGGGCTGGACAGGGCTCAGCGACAGACACAGCCACCCCTGTAGTCTTCGGATCACAGCACAACCAGATATACAGTAGCAAAAATAACTGGCAAATCTAAACTAAAGAGACAACGATTGAATAAAGTACTCAGAGGCATGTCCTGGTCAGCCTTTAATGTAACATAAACTGATCAACATAACGTAACGTGATGAATTGCATTTTTGATTTTCATATCCTTAATGAATGACTTTTGAAAGCAGGATAACGTCCCGACTGCAGGTGAGCATTCACCTAATCGTTAGCGATAACAACAGAAGAGCCACAAACAAATCTTTCACAGAGGGAACACTGTGCTGTAGAAGGTACCATCCTGCTTGATTTACTGTAAAGGACTTGACTACTATTTGATCTTTAGGGTCCCACTACAATGTTTTTAAGGGTCTGAGTGTTGGTCTGAGGCTCTTACTAAATTACACTTTGGGCTTTCACAACTGCGACACACTACATTTCCCCATTCATGAATTTGTTTAAGGAACTTTGCACTTACGTAAGACCGCTGGTGCAGAGTGTCTGCCACATGTCACTGACAAGGTTACTGCTTCTCAGGGGTAGACCTAAAGGATCCCCCCAATGTGTTAAGCTCTTTGAGAGTCGTAAAGATGAAAAGTGATGTACAAGCAGTCTTAGAGATTTGAGCACCTTTGGGCAGACTTACTGCACTTGATTGGGAAAGTATAGGTAGATCCTGTGCTCTCTTGGTAACTCCAAGTGTTGTAAACCTGAACTTCATGCTTCAAACTCAAGGCTTGAAACTGTTTTTGGAACAGTGAAGGATGCAAAGAGCAAATGATAACATAGCAGCAATGAGGGTTTGTAACAAATAACACCAGGAACTACCAGGTGCCAAGCAAGCCACTGTTTAAACAGGCCCAACAAAACCTTGTACAGGCTTTGATTTGCACTTTCTTTCTCTTATCAGAAGCTGTTTCTTTTTCACGCATGAGCTGCGTTTCACAATACACGCTCCCTCTATGAAGGGTTTGCACTGTTATCCTATAATCAAAGCACAAAGAGCTTTCTATTATCTAGCAACATAAAATTACCTTCTAAGGTGGCACCAATGACATTGATGGATCATCCCCTCCAAGGTCTGACTCATCCATCTGTTTCCTCTAAATCTGATAATGCTGTGGACACTACTTAGCCAACACACATGAGTTTGAATAACAAAGTTACTTTGGAATAATAGTAACAGAAGGAATACATAATGAGGTTAAAAACAGCAAAGAAAGGTAATCTTTGACATTTTACTTGATGGCATTTGGTGAATTCATTATCCTAAAAAGAATCAAAAAGTGCATACTTACATACAAGACAGTGACCCTGCAAATGTGATATTTGTGCTAATGCTTATTTGAAGCAGTGTGTAGATCAGGTAGCTCTGTATGTCCAAAGCTACTACTGAATTTAGCCAAACTCCTGTTGCACCAGAAGCTTCATGTGACTCACGACGCCCTGCAGTTTTGATGGCTGTTGCAATGCAATGCCAGAAACCCACCTGCTTGCCACATAGGAAAACGAGGATGACTGTATTTCAGACTTTCTAGGTTCTCCATGAGACAAACGTCCCGCAGAATGAGAACCATTTTTGTTCTAAAAGTAGTTGCCTAATTTCAATCAGAAAGGCTAAACCAAGGCATGTTATGCTCAAAAGAAAAAAGAAAAAGGTCCTATAGACCCAAGAGAATCTGTAGATGACACAGCAAAAGCAAGAACTCCAGCCAGGGTTCAGGAGGGGCTAAACTAAAAAAAACACATGGCCAGAACTCACAAACCACTCAATCGCAATACTGCATCTATCAACTCATGTCTGTTAGAGGCTTCTTGTCAAACTGGCATGTTCTGCCTCACAGCCATGTTTATGCATTTTACCAGTTGAACTTCATAGATGCCAACAACTGACAGAAACACAAGCCTACCGTACAAGAGTCATCTTGTATAGAACTTTCACCAAAGTGATCCATACAGTCACAGTTCTTATTCATGACAGGACAAACAACAGTTGCAAATTTTGCTCCTATTCACTAAACCCAACTTGGTAAACAATCACAACCCAAAACAGTAAATTGGCCAACCAATAATTTAGCTACTACAAAAAGACTTATGGGGCTTTGAGATACAAGTGACCTGATGTCCAGTTATAATATTATTATTATTATTATTAATAATACAAAAATGCTTACACTTATATGGTGCTTTTCTTTACACTCTACTCAAAGCGCTTTTCAGGTAATGGGGACTCCCCTCTACTACCACTAATGTGCAGCATCCACCAGTTAGCCTAAAGACAGCTTTTCTTCATTCATAACTAAAACCGTAACGCCAGCCTTTGACATTGATCTGGCAAAGAAATTATCAGGATGTATATTATTAAACTTGGTTTTAAGTCTCTGTCCTCGAACATTCAAGCAATACCACAAACTTCCCAGAGAAGTTGTCTTCACTTCTTTAAAAATCATGATACAATACCGAGGCCAATTCAGATAGCAGGTAGCTACCAAGTTAAAGCACTACACAGTGGTGTGTACGCTTGGTTAACGGCTTCACTTACATTGAACAAATTAGTCTTATTCCTCTCGCAGAAGAGTCCTTGCGCTGGCATGTGCTTCAGTTGTTGCCATGGGACACTGCTTCCTAGCAACACGTCTCGGGCCCACTGCAGGTTCTGTGGAAACACAAAATATAATCAGAGCGAGAGTGTGCAGAGAGACCCGTGGGGGTGGTGGGCTGCCTATCGCCTGCAAAGACAGAGGTTGGTTAAAGCTGTAGAAACATGCAGTGAAAAACAACATCTCACCTGCCGAAGAGTGCACAGCCAACAAAACGCAAAGACTTAGGTGCCTCGTCAGGTGAAATACAACTGCTGCCACCACTGGACAGTGATCAACTGAAATATTTTCAGAAGCCAGTTTATACCAAAAAAATAAAAGGTGAAGGGGAAAGTGATTTTGGTGACTCTATATTAGTATCAGTGCAACAAAATGACAAAAATGTATCACACAAGAAAGGCCGTTCATCTCCATTCACCAGTTCATGAATTCATTTGTCATTAGGGTACGAAAACAGAACGTGACACTGTAAATCCTTTGACAGTGAAATATACAGTAAGTACAGTAAGTAAGGTTTTATAGAAAAACAGCGCCTTCTAGTCAAACAAGTCAATCAAATCAGTAGCATCACGAGGCCCAATAAAACGTAGGAACATATGTTTGATCGTAAATTTCATTTCAGCAGTCTGAAGGCACGTCTAGCAAAAAATTAAAGATCAAGTACTGGATTTATAATTTTGCAGGTGATGGGGTTGATTGGTTGTCAAACCAGACTAATATCCAACCACAAAGTTTTCTGCTCCTGGTCTGAACACTAAATAAAATGCACACCACGGTATTTAATTTGTATAAACAGAAATGTTTTTCCTTAAATCTATTTCTACAGATAGAACTTCAGACATTTTTCTGGTCTTAATACTGGGTAATGTTAAAAACATTGGCTTTCTTAAAAAGGCACCATCAGACTGTGTAGTTATCCAGGAAAAAATCACAATAGTAACTATGTAACCGGACTATAGCATATTACTTTGAGTGAATAAAAATCACAGATAATGAAATCTTAACGAAAAAGGTTAAAATGCTCTGTAGACAAAAATACTGTATTCATTAGATGTGAAATTGCTGTATTTCTAAAACTAGCACTGAATTACTTCCTTCTATCTCAGGTAGGTTTCTAACGGCATTCAATGCTGTATTTCCTTCACATAACCTGCTGTTAGGAGGTACTGTATCATGACAGAATATCTTCTGATGTCTGATGAGCAACATCATAAATCATGCTGATGAGAATGTTTCTGTATTCTTCTCTTTTTTAGAAGAGTGACCATTCACCCTGAGGGTGACGAAAGTCACAGAAGCACTAAGGATGTGAGGAAGCAATAAAAAAGGAAAATGATGTTCAGATAAAAATGTAAAATTTAAGTCAAGCAACACTATGTTAGATTGTACAATGCACTAGTAAGACCTCATTTACAGCACTGTGTATATTTTGTCCCCAACTGCAGGTCACTGACACGGTAAAGGAACTAAAGTCTGGAACACAGAACGCAGACTTGATTCAAGTATTCAAAGTCCTCAAAGCCACTGCCCAATGAACTTCTTCAGAACCATCTACGAAATATGAACTAAAGGACACAAATCACAGCTATGGGCAAGAGCATTTAAAACAAAACGGGAGGCACTTATTGACACAAAAAGGACATGCAGAACAAGCTACCCAGCTGAAATTACCACTGCTTTAGAAAAACAGCTGGACACTCACTTAGCTACTTGAAAGCAGACGAGACAGTTAGGCCAAATGGCCTCCTTGAATTTGCAAACTCTCTTAGGTTCTAATGAAACCTCTTGCTCACCAAGACTGGATGGACATCAAATGCAGACCCATCTGTTTCTTTTGTATTGTTCTCACGCCCACCAGGTAAAAGCAGAGCAGTGACTGGTGCAGCTCTGCAATACCTACTCTGTAAACACAAGCAAATAGAAAATATCTCTTTATCTCACAAAGAATACAACAGATACCAAGGCCCACTCATGTTAGGAACTTCTAATTTTGTGTGCCTTTTGACTTGAATTTCTAAGACATACCTAACAAGGATGCTAATATAAATATACATCATCAGATGAACCTTTATTCTGGCAAATCAATAGATCCTTGACAATCACATTTACTGTTTTTAACATGCATGCTTTTGAAATATTTTTGGAAGGTAGGTCTTATACAGATGATGACTTCAATTTTACCCAGGGTTTAACTGCCTTTATCATTGATAAAAACAAACATGCCTTTGATTTTCATTATAAAACCTTAGAATCAACAATTAGTTGTGCTATTGGGAATGGCCAAGGAATGGTCAATAGTGTGGTTTACACCCTTGACCACAGGCAGCGGGGAATGAGGAAGAGGAGGCAGACTCCCCTGACCCACCTGCCTTCAAGCCACAGCTTTCACTGCCTCGTGACAGAGGGGCAGCACTGATTGGAGGAGAGGTGCATTCCTCACCTACAGCAGCACATGCCTGCAATCCCCCAGGAGGCCACAGGGGTCGCTATGCTACTGAAAGCCAAGATAGCCCTGGGGGATTAAACCTGCCTTATTCTCAGCGCTGATCAGCCAATTGCATGTGGCTGTTTGAGGAATCACAGCCACAGGCTTTAGTGACACATCCAGTTTATTCATTCAGAAAGATCCCTTGAGATTTTAGACTCTTACAATCTTAAATAAAATTGACTATTTGCCTCCATGTGGTAATTTACCACAGCACAGTAGAGTTGTACATTTTTTTGGTATAACTTTTTTTTAAGCAGGACAGTCCTTTAGGAGAATGTTAAAGCAGTGGCCCCTTAAAAATATTAGATAATGTAAAATACTTTCCATACATAAGAAATGGACAAAACCACTAGCACCCTTGATTGGAACAATGTTATTCTCCAAAAAGTGTAGTTTAATAATTTGGGTTACCAATATTTTTTGTTCAGGTTTCCCAGCACAGGCAGTAGACAAAAAACAGTTTTTTTTACATATTTAGTTTAGGAGAAAAAAATCGAAATATTTGTTTAAGGTACAGTGTAGCACGTTTGTTTCTGATGTCATGAGATAAAATGTGCCATGTTTTCCTATATCTACAGTAGCTCAAGGACTGGCCTCACAAACCTTTCAATATGCTGTGCCATCAGATGTCATTTCACTTATATTCTCTGGCTGCATATCATGATCCTCTGGCCTCCTGTGTATCAATTCCTGCCATGTGCTTGTACAAAAAACAGGACTACAAATACACACACACTTTCACATACGGGTGCGATCAACTTGAATGCATGATTTGACCATCTGAAACCTGTATGGCTATAATGCGCCACTTCTTGAAACAGTGCAGCATCCACTGAAGTGCTCTCATTCTGATTGCTCTTTAATGTGCAACAAGACGGAGAGCACACCTGTGGCCCTGGAGAGGGGAATTCCGTAACTTTTCTCTCTCTCTACCAACCTCTGGCCAAAAAAAGGCAACTTTGAAAACTGGTTGCTTCTGTGTGTGTGTGTGTTTCTGGCAAACTTACAATGCTGAAAGTGTTGCATTGTGGTTAACGTCTTCACTTGCGAGCTGAAGCTCGGCGGGAGTGAAAACTGTTTGGTTCCAGACACTGCAGGTGTGTTGGGAGGCCTGGAACAGCCCCAGACTCAACCCATGGTGCCATACTGATGTCATCAGGAAGACGCATGTAGCTGGAAGGCTTAACATTTTGTTTGCAGCAATACTATTGTCAGACTATGTTGCATCAAAGACCTGTCTAACACAGCCATGCTGAATGTTGATTCTTTTTCTAATCTACAGAAAATTGGATGAAACCAACAGAAAGCAAATTCTCACAGCAGAGCACCTTACATAGCAAAACATACATTCAAACCAAGATTTTAAGGCTATTTCATGCTGCAGAAATTTTAGCTCACTCGTCCCATCACCCTTAGATGGCTATGATCCATATCATATAGGTTTAAAAGATGTAATTTACTGAAAAAAAAATAACTATGAAATGGATAAGATAATTATGATTGTATAAATATCAAAACAAGACTAGAAGCAATAAGGTCACCCACTAACAAAGAATCTCTCCGATCTCCGATGTAATAAAAACTTTCACCTCTGGTGATAAAGGCACGTTCACTACTTCCTTGTTAGTTTACATCAAGAAATTGGTATCCAGGTAAACTTTAGGAGGATCCTTGTAGTGCAGACCGTATCTCCTTTCTAGATTCAGGTTTCTCACGTTGCACTCAATATAATAAAACTCGCATTCCTCCGTTCCCTGAGAGCTTAATATTATGCCTGAGATTTCTGGATTAATGCGAGAGAGACTCATGTCTCATGTCGAGAGCGCCAAAGCAGCTGACCTCTGTAGTCATTTAACATCATGGCTGGAACGGGCTGGTAATTTTTGATCAAACCCAGGCTTGCATTGCACGACAGCTCTAAAATCAACTTCCACAGTGCTTAGGTTAGGTTATGCTTCTTGGCACCTCCCATCAACAACGTAAAACTAGTGCAGGAACCCTATCTGTAGATGGCATTATGCTTTAATTTCAATCAAAACTGAAGAATTTGGGGGCTATATTCAATCTTGGCTTGACTTTTGAACCCAATGCAAAAAATGTTTTCTGCCATCTCAGAAATATCACCTGACTACATCCTATGTTTTCTTTGACTGTAACAGAAAAGATCGTCAACACATTTGTCTTTCCTAGAATTTATTACTGCAACACTCTAGTTGCTGGGGTATCTAAATCGATACTGAACAAACTCCAATACATTCAGAATTTGGCAGCCAGAATCCTAACCAGGTCACATACAAGCAATCACATAACGCCTGTCTTGGAGTCTTTGCACTGGCTTCCTATCAGGTTTCGATTCTGCGATTCTACTTTTAATTTTGATATATAAAAGAAAGTTTATTCTTTTTATATCATAGTGTCTGTGCGAAACTTCCAAGTAAGATAGTTTTCTCTTTTCTCAAAGCCCCACAAAGTTGATGTTGCTGTTTCTTTCGACCACAAGCTCCCTAGTCTCATAACACATAGGTTTTGTTGAAGGGTAACCAGCCAGCTGGATGCAGAGGTGCCAAAAAACATAAGTTATGGTTAGAAAGATTAATTATTTCCCCCATCTGGCACTTTTTTTGTTTTAAACATTTAAGCAAAGCACTACCCCTGTTAACCAGGTTAAGAATAAGTTATCAAACTAACAATGCTATCTTATACACTGTGAGAAAACAAGCAATGAATTTTCTATCCGTGACTGTGTTGTGCTCCTACCTCATAGCCACTAATGTGGGCACACTTGAAATTCTGAAAGAAAGAATAAGAGTGTCTGACTAAGGTACAGCTTTTAAGGCATTGCCAAAAGACCCAGGGACTGCTTTCAAGCAGCTAAGAGAAACACTGCAATTGCCTTTAATAAATGCCTGATTCTTTATAGACTACTGCAGCACAGCTACAATACTAAACGTAATAAACTAAAAGCCCAGCAACATTTTCATGTGATCTTCAATAGTTTATATAAGAACACTCCAAACAAGAGGGGGACATTTTTCCTATCTAGGTTCTTGAATTTAACAGCTAAATGATCTGAGAATCTCAACAAGCTATTTCTTGAAAGACTGTTCCAGACTCCCAGATCCATTTGTGTAAAGAATGTTTGCAGTTTTAAATGCGTCTCCCTGTCGTTTATACTTGCGTCCCCTGGTTTGTGCTTCAGTGATGATTCAAAAGAAGTCTATTCGATTGACTTTGTACACTTTGTGAATACTGGAGTCAGCCCCCCTCAGGCTCTTCTTTGTTCAGAACTAAAAAGACTCAGTTCTGTGCGTCTGTTAGCACCTCCTATATGCCTAGTAAATTATCTGGTGCTTCTCTTCTCCACTTCTTCCAGACCAGCTTTATCTTTTTTTTTATCGTGGTGGCCAAAACTTTATGCAATACTAATGAGATCTTAACTTGCATGTTAAATAATCTAATATATATCCCAACATTCCCCATGGTTTTCATAACATAAATGATGTGCCATAATAAACACCCAGGTGCTTCTCATATGTAGCCTCTTCAAGACCCGTTTTATATTACAATGTATGTTTTCTCTACTTGAAAGCAGCAGATATTTGATCAGTGCTCTTGGTATTATCTGATACATGTGCTAAAGAAGACCTGTCATATTTTCTTCTTTTGAAGCATATGTGCCAAGAAAATGTTCGAAATGTTCTGTTATTGCATCCACGTTACTCAAATAGTAAACATCTTTAAAAGTATTTGGAATTTTACTAGAGCCAGACATGTTGACAGAACTGCAATTTTTGCTAATATATCTTGAGAAAAATGTTTACAAATCATACACACAAAGACTCTGATAACCTTTAATTCCTTGAAATTGTAACTTAAGTCATAAAAATAATAAAACCCATTTTGAAATCATTTGTCCTAATGCTTTTCCAACACCTTAAACAGAACATATCAAGTTCAGTTCTGTGCTCTCTACAGGCTTAATTAGGCCGTTTTACCCTGAACTTTTCCAGCTGAGAAAAAAAAAATATTTTTAAGGTTTCTGTGATGGCAAAACTGGGACAATTCACCAAGAGACAAGTACACATCCATAAATTATATGTAATGCCTGGCATATTAAAAAAAAGTCATATTCATGATTATCTGTAGTAACATATTTTGACAGACTGTAAAATAAAACCAGACTGCTTTAAAGTGCAGATTAATGGAGACTGTAGATATGTTTGTTTTTTGGAAGACGATGAGTTCTTTCATCATACAGAAACTCCACCATGGCAGTGGAATGGTGGTTCTGAGGTTCTGCACTGCTTGAGGTCTAATGGCTTGGTTAACCGGAATGAAGTGACTCAGCTGATGTAATTTCCCACACCTCAGAACACTAGGTCAAAATAACCTGCAGAACAATACTTTCAGATC